AAGCTAGATTCAACCCTTATGCCATCAGTAACTGTTTCTCAATGTATCTTTGTTAATAATTTTACACTAATTAAATTTATGTTATTATTGAACCTTGGATATCTGAGCTACTTGGTCTCAGCCTGGTCTTTTCTAAGAACTTTGCCTGTGTGCAGGGGCACTTCTAGGGGTGGGGCCACAGGGGCAGTGGCCCCAGCTGATATCTGATTGGCCCACATAAAGTGCCCTTTTTCTGTCACTCTGTCCTTTGCCCTATAGTAATGCTGCATTCACACCGAACGCAATTTGAGCATCAAAAATGCGTCTATCACCTGAAGTTGGATGCTTATGTACTTTGAGTTCAAACGCTCGTCATAAATTTCTCTTGACGCACGTCAAGAACCTCCACTGCCGGTCTCTGTTTAATGGCGGATGAAATAAAGGAAGCACTTTGCTTTAATTACTGAGAGCAAGAGCACGTCGTGCTCACCAGATAATTAATTCATAATTAATTTACCAGATAAATCAGAGGAGTTCTAAGTTTGCCGCGCTAGACGCTCTAGATGCGCCGCAGCACTTCTCGACACTCCTTGACGCACGTCCACCTTAAACTTTACATGTAAACCTGATATCCCTGACATTCAAAATGCATTTGGTGTGAACACAGCATAATGGGGGTGGATACAGTTCCATGTCCAAACATTAGTGAATCAAACAGAAAGGTCCAACATGAATCAATATTACAGTCTTCTTCTCTGTATAAAAAAAGTTTAACAATCCTGCAAAAAAAGTTTTTGAGCTGACAAACGACTGGATTTGCTCACATGTTGTGTGTTTGAGAGTATTTYATCTTTGTACAGTAAGAATGCATATAAAATTGTTTAGGATAATTTACTGTCCAAGCTTTTTTAATTACATTACAAGTATTTGAACATGTGTGACTGGTATGCTCATTACCAACATTTGTGTGAAAGGATGTTGAACAAATCCTTGGCTCCTCTATGAATACTGTGGCCCCTTGATGACCCCTTAATCAGAAAAGTCCTKTCTACTACTGCCTGTTGGGAATTTTCCTAATGTCATTCTGCTCATTTCTCATTGAAACCATAAATGTTACGTCAACTGCGCTTTATTGCTCATTGTAAAAATTTCATTGGCTGATGAACCAGGTAACCCTGAAATGGTTTGGACTTTATTCTGCACCTGGTTTGATAAAAACTGTACCAGAGTTCATGAGGGATTGCTTATTTAAACACTTGGTGTGCTAGCGAATGGGCAGATAGTATAGCTCTCTACAGAAGTCACTACAATGGCAATTTTTCAGCTACTTTTGAGCTATGCTGCAAATGCACTTTTCATTCTTTTAGTTTTACTTTTCATAGCATTTCTCGGTTACTGCATGTACATCAAATACATCCACATGAAATATGACCACATACCCGGACCACCCAGAGACAGGTAAAGTTATTGTTAGTAAGCTAATATGTGTTCAGTTGTTTCAACATTAATTGTGATGCTTTTTGTTTTTTCTTAAGTTTCTTCTTTGGACATTCACCAACATTTTTGAGGATTATGAAAAATGGTGGTGTTGTACATGAGAAGTTTCTTGAATGGTAAGTTTTGCAATAGAAAATAACATTCAAAGGTTTTTCTACATTCTTAAAGATTGATGCATAAATGTTATGTGTGTATTTTAGAGTTGGTTTGTAAGAAACTTTTATAACACTTGTAATATATTCTACTGAGTTTGTCTATGTCATATTTGCAAGTGTGATAGAGGTTTTGTTAACAATTAAGATTAAAAAACCATCACTTTATTTACAGGTCTGAGACTTACGGGCCTGTTTACAGGCTGAATGGTCTTCACTATGTTACTGTGTGTGTGACCTGTCCAGAGGCAACAAAGGTAAACACCTGCTAAAACAACATAGATGTTAGAAATTTAAGTTGTTGCAAAACAAATGTCCCTCTGCTRCAMTATACTAAATGTCATTGCTTAAAGTGTAACTAAACCCTCGCACAACTTCACCACCAAGCAAAAATGAAAAATGCCAACAAMGTGGGTAGTGAGRGGCACAGGCAAGGGTGGGAATGAGCAAGGAGTTGTGGTCCAGACAAGAGAACATGACAGGCAGCTAGCTTAATTTGACAAACTAGCATTTTGGAAAACAGGTCTAGTGTGGTCCAGATGCATAAAATGTGCTGAAACCAGCCTTTAATAAAGTTTTACAAATCAAATAGCGGTTTTCCAATCCCAAACTTGGTTTTATATATTCTGCTTTAAGTGTAGAATAATCAGGTTTGTCGTGTCTAAGTATTTTAGTTTCTAAACTAGAGCAGATTAAAGATACTCAAGGTTGTGAAAAATTAGGTAGAATCGCCCTTCAGTCATTTCCTGATTCAGATGCTTCAGCTTCAACAAACTGATTAATCGCTGAGGGAATATTAGTGGACAGCAACTTTGTAGTTAATTTAAAATATATTTATTGAACCACAAAGATTGTTAAATTAAGGATTTCTCCTCTTCTCCCATGTTTGTTATGTTCTGTCTTCTTCTGGTGTTCTGAACTGTGATTTCATTATGTTCTGTACAATGACAATAAAGGTCTCTCTAATGTAATCTAATCCAATCTAATCTAATCTCTATTTCAGTTTGTTTTCTGATATGAGGCAGAAACTTGAAGTCCAGCTAATATTTCTCCTCCCTCTGCGTGCTTCATTTCTGAATGCGTACATATAACATTTTGTTTTTCCTGGTTCTAGGAAATCATGATGTCCCCAAAGTACCCCAAGGACAGATTTGTCTACAACAGACTCTTTAACCTGTTTGGTGAAAGGTAGATAACAAACTTTGAATATTAATTCAGTTTTATTTTTTGTCATTCATACCCATGTCAGACATTTAAGAATAAAATGTGTTTACCTGGCCTATTTAAAAAATGACCTGAGTACAGAATCCCACATTTTCAACTCTCTTCTTTAATTTTCATAGTAATCGCACCACTTTCTCTTTACAGGTTTTTTGGCAACGGCCTGTTAACGGCACAGAATCATGAAGTGTGGTACAAACAGCGCCGGATTATGGACCCTGCCTTCAGCAGCTTGTAAGTTGCTTAGTTTAGTGATTTTTTTTTCTGAGTTGCGGATTTATTGTTAAATGACAGTATCTTCTGGATGTGCGTTTTTTTTGGTCTGAAATTATTGTTCCTTCCAGATATTTAAGAGGTCTAATGGACACCTTCAATGAAAGAGCAGAGAAACTAATGGATAAGCTTGAAGAATTTGCTGATAATAACAGAGAGGCCAACAT